ACTATTGTAGCCACAGCTGCCTTGGGGCAGACTGACAGAGGCACGGCTGCCATGCCACTCTGCACACACACCACTTTCATACTAGACAAAAAATTAAAATTACCTTTAATTCATGCTCAGATCCTTACAACCACACACTAAATATTAAATATTCCCTTTATCAAGGTAGAGTTTCAAAAAAACTGCAGTAAAAAGTTAAATTTTAATTGATGCAAGGTAATTTGGGCCAATTCACCTGGAAGCCTGAGGGCCAAGAAAAAATTGTCTGAGGGCCGCATTTGGCCCACGGGCCATAGTTTGCTTTTAGACATAGACACTTTTAGACATACACACTTTTAGACATAGACACTTTTAGACATAGACACTTTTAGACAGCGTGTTGGCAGATAACTCTTACAAACAGACAAAGTGAAATACTGATTAATGCTCCAGCTCAGTTTTAAATGATAGATATTCTAGAATATTGTGTATGCAACCTACAGATCAGGTCTGTGGAGCAGCGAGCCTGTTTAGAGTTACAACTACTACTAGTTTTAGTTGTATAATTATTATTTTTATTATTTTTTTTTTAGCATCTGTAATTGAAATTAAGCAGGTGGAAAACCCCTCATTAGAAATGTTACATAATGCACCTTTAAATAATGTATGTTTGTATGTATGTTGTATTAAAGAAAATTGGTGGTTTTCAGATTCCAGAATGTGATGAAGTCATACTCCCAGATGAGGGACAACACACAGTTTTCCTTATTCAATACATTGTACTTTGTCACAAATATACAAACTGTAAATGCACAAATGTTGATCCTGATCATTTCTATTACTGACGAGACTCAAGAACTCACTGTATTACAACAAAAATCCAACTGTATTTATCTGAGCTGCCTCCATCTGTATTAAATCATGTAGGCCTGTAGAATGTTATGATGTCATCTGAAACCCAGAAATACTTGCCATTCCTTTGCCAGTCGTTTGTAGACTCTCTTGATCTCAGCCTGGCTCGCTTTCCGGCTTAGACCCAGGACTTTGTATGGGTCCAGTTCCGGTCTGGACTGAGAGGGTAGAACCAGGAGGAAGAGGAGGAGGAAGGACAGAAGGGAGAGCGATGTCCTACAAGCCGCCATCACTGCTGAAAATAATCATACAGGTTAAATAGGGTCATCAAAAGTAAAGAAAATCAGACACTAATCGATACTAAAACTAGTAGGCAAGGCAAGACAAGGCAAGTTTATTTGTATAGCACAATTCGTACACAAAGTAATTCAAAGTGCTTTACAGAATAAGAAATACATTAAAATCATAATAAAAACAAATCAAAACATAAATAATCATGAAGATTAAAATAAAAAAAAAGAGAGACATAAATTGGGGAGAAGAGTGCAGAATGAAAACCTTTCAGTCATATGCACAGTTAAACAGAAATGTTTAGAGTCTGGATTTAAACAGCGTCACAGAAGAGTCTGTCTCACATGTTCACACTGTTCCAGGTTTTAGCTGCATGAACCTGAAACTCTGACTCCCCTTGTTTAGTCGTGACTCTGGGCACCAGCAGGAGGTCGGTCCCTGCGGTCCTCAGAGTGTGAGATGGTTCATATGACACTAACATGTCACAGATGGACTTTGGTGCTCGGCCATGGAGAGACTTGTACACAAACAGAGCTGCTTTAAAGTCTATTCTCTGAGCCACAGGAGCCAGTGCAGAGACCTGAGCACAGGACTTATGTGCTCGTACTTCCTAGTTCAAGTCAGGACCCGAGCTGCAGCGTTCTGGATGTTCTGCAGCGTCTCACAGCTCGTTTGGAGACACCAGTATAGTATAGATGCTACACAGTATATTTATTTGAGCAGGTCTACATACTAAAAAAGCTGAGTCTGTTCATTTGAAATGTTAGTATCGTGACAGCACTATTGTAATGATTGAACTACTTGGATGTACAGAATGTGCACCAGAAGTGGGCCACAGACACACAATCACATAATGAAGCTTCTAAATACGGCAGCACAAAACTGGGCCACTGAAAACACAGGTGAACTTAGACTATTTTTGTTACATTGCGTGTACATCGATACACTTATGAGGGAGAGGGACTGTCATTCTGCAAGAACAAGCACCAAAAATTAAGAAAGCCGATACGACACATACCTCGATATAGTGTACTTTTGATTCAATATTTCCAACTGATTAATATGGTTCAATAAAAAAATAAAGGCTAAATCATGGCTGTAGGGATGTAATGATATTCAAATTTCTCAGTATGATATTTTCACAATATGCATCTCACGGTACGATATTTATTGTGATATTTTGTGGAGGCTGACAAATTGTGAATACACTACTTTTTCCTTTAAAAAATGCCTTGACCAGCCTTTGGTTCTGTCATAACCCAAAGAGGTAAGATTTAAATTGCTTAATAACAGTTATTTAATTGTGTAAATTGGACTGAAACAGAGCAAAGGATCATGGTCTATGTAGTTCCCTGGGTTTCTTTTAGCTGTTGCTGCATCATAACTATGAATTTAAGCAAAGAGACTTGAGATTCGATATTGTGATGGCCCATGATATTATTGTGAGACTTTTGACGACACGATATCACAATATTTCAGTTATTGTCACATCTGTACATGGCTGTGACACTAAAAGTTTTTGTTAAACCACGTCTTGTGCAAAGTTCATATGAAACACAAACATTTTAATCATCAAAACTGTGAAAATGTCAAATGTGTCGCTTAAACGAGTTTCCTTCCTCTAAACAAGTAACAAAACTGTAGCTCTGGAAGAAAATAATTTTGTAAAATATACCAAAAAAATACGACTGGCGATATATTAAGGCTGTGCAATTAATCGAATTTTGATTGTGATTTCGATTTGTGTGTCAAAGAATCTCCAAACTCATATAATTGAGTTGAAAAGATTTAAAGTTTAACAAAGTTTATTTTGTGATATTTTTTATGCAATTAAATATATTTATTTTATTTTTTTAAATATAGGGATTGTAGAAAAGCTGGATATATAGTTTATTTTGGACACATTTAGTTTATTAGTTTATTTTATTATTTTATTCATTTTATGTTTTATACATCACAAAACTGCTCTAAGGTTCAGATGTGTAGCCTATATTGATTTTCAATTTGAATTATCAAATTATCAATAACAAAGTGTTGTGTTTTTGTTTGTCTGAGAGAGAGAGAAATGCTGAATAAATGCTTCATGTAACTTACAAGTAATCGTTTAAATAATCACAACAGTATTGACCAAAATAATCGTGATACTGATTTTTTCCATAATTGAGCAGCCCTTTGATAAATCGATACAGCAACCCACGATATCGATACTGTATCATCACATTAAACTAGGGTGACCAGAATTTCAAAATAAAACTGGGACATCCCATTTTTTGGTGGTTGGTAATAATACAATTGTGAAAAGAGTGAGTAATGAAGGAAAACTGTTCTGCAGAGACCAATCCTGACTGACATGTGAGTCAGTATAGTCACATTTTCTTTGTGTTTAAGCAGATTTTTTTGTATTTTACCTAAACAAATGACAATGTATGCCTCTATTTACTGTTGGCAGGGATCAGATTGGTCCAACATACGGACACCTGGGACATTTCTTATAGAAAACTGGGACAAATTAATGTTTTTGATAAATCCACTGGGACAGGGGAGATGGGGCTCAAAACTGGGACTGTCCCGAGAAAATAGGGACATCTGGTCACCCTACATTAAATGATATGTATATATATATATATATATATATATATATATATATATATATATATATATATATATATATATATATATATATATATATAAGCAATGCTGGCACTGAGGATCAAACTACCAACCCTCAAACTACCAACTGTCCAAAAATGTATTCCCCTACAGATTACAGATTACATATCCCAAAATGTATTTTGTAACGGAATCCATTAAGTTACTTAAAGTGAGTAACGTAATCTGAATACTTTGGATTACTTGATATTGTCCTGATTTTAGTCCTGGTTGAAGTCCTGGTTTAGTCCTGGTTTAGTTCTGGTTTTAGTCCTGGTTTAGTCTTGTTTTTTTGTCTTGGTTTAGTCCTGGTTTAGTCCTGATTTTAGTCCTGGTTTTAGTCCTGGTTTAGTCCTGTTTTTTTGTCTTGGTTTAGTCCTGGTTTAGTCCTGGTTTAGTTCTGGTTTATTTCTGGTTTAGTTCTGGTTTAGTCCTGGTTTAGTCCTGGTTTAACCCAAAATATGAAAACAGGAAAATACCGCCGTGTAATCCATTTATTTCAACAAAGTAACTGTAATCCGATTACCACTCACTGAAACAGTAACTGAATACAGTTACTCATAATTTGTACTCTGATTATGTAACTCGGGTACATGTAATCTGTTACTCCCCAACATTGGTTACCACAGTGTGAAGACTGTTTTAAAGACACGTTTCAGATGGACTTATGCTGGCAGGTTTCATTTGATTTTCATATTGTCATTTTAACCTTTATTTGCACTTGCACCATCTGATCCTCACGCATCTGCTCTCGTCGGCTTTTAGCATAAAGAAACATGTTTTTATTCTGATATTTAGCACCTTCTGCTCTGGAATCTGGCGACTCAAATGTCAAATTCTATTAAAAACGACTAAACATGTCTGTGTGCGTTTTGCTAAGTGGCTCTAGTTCGTTGTGCGCAGATAAGGCGCTGGACACTCACCTCAAACGCACGGCTCATGTTTATCATCGTAAACATTTAGAGACACGATCCCAAAAGATGCTCTCGTCCGCATCCCTTTCTCCTCCGGCATCTGCTGAAGGGGCGGTGTTAAAGAACCGAAAGCAATTTTGGGAGTTTGAGTATTTCGCGTTCATTGATTCTGCTTGGGTGCGTTTGATTTATAACTCAGCGTGGTGCTCTTCTTACAATCGCCACAATGTGTGCTTGAAATACGACATCAAGCGTACGCGGTGTAATAAATCCAATGCACCTAGAGCTACGGACCAATCACAGCCGGCGGTGATGTAAACACGGAAGTAGAGCTCGTAATGAGTGTGAAAGCTGTAAACAAAAAAGGAAACCTGCCTTATTTTTGAACTACAAATTAGAATTACGTGTTTTGATTAGAGATCAGCCATATAAATTAAGCTATTGGGAGTTTTTACGTGTGCATGTTGAGTTTTTGTTTTGAAGGAGGGAAATGGACGAAAGGCACAAAAAGATTCTTCAACGTAACAGGACGAACCTGGTAAAAGAACTGGAGCCGTCGAGTCTGTACGATCTGCTGCTGGAGAAGAGAGTTTTCACTCAGGACATGATCGACGAGATTCAGGTACGACCACAGTCAAAAGAACCAGGACAAAAGCTGTTTATATGATTTAAAGAACAAACAACAAATACATACTTCTAATGCCACTGATTAAAATGTCCCAAATGATGTTCAGCTCATGTCACCATGTTACATCACAAACATGCTCTTATACAAACGTCTATTTCAAGATCAGGTGTACAGTCTTTTTTTTTTTTTATAAATTGAACATTTCTTCTCCCAAATGTGTGTGAAAAGTGCTGGGAAATATTCTCTTATGTGACCGAATCAGAAGCATTTTTTATTATTTCCTGTATCAATATTTCTGTGTCAGCTATAAAACAATATCATGAGAATATCATTTTTTGACAAAATATATGATTATTTTATAATTAGGGTGTGCAAAAATATTAAAATATTGATATATTGTATCGCCTAATGTGATGATGCAGTATCATTAAGTATCACTAGCTGTATCGCTAAGTGTCATTTTTTAAAATATATTTTACTAAATTATTTTGTTCCAGCCCTGCGCTACAGTTTTGTTGCTTGTTTAGAGGAAGAGAGATTTGACATTTTCACTGTTTTGATTGACTTTGCACTTTGAACTTTGTGTTTTTTATGAACTTTGCACAAGAAGTGGTTTAACAAAGAATTTTAGTATCACAGACATGATTTAGCCATTATTTTTTATTGAACCATATTGAATCGATTTGAAATATATTGTATTAAATTGTATCGAATGGAAAGCTCACTGTATCAATATATGTATCGTATCGTGGCCCATGTATGAGGTATGTATCGTATCGACAACTTCTGAATGATTTCCAGCCCTATTTTATAACAAATAAACTGGTAGTAATCATTAATGAATGAATGTATTAATCATTGCATTTATATAGTGCCTTTCAAGATTCCCAAAGCACTTCACAGTTCATTATTCATTCACTCAACACTGGTGGTAAACTACTACTGTAGTCACAGCTGCCCTGGGGCAGACTGACGGAAGCAAGGCTGCCAATCTGCACCATCGGCCCCTCCGACCACCACCATCACTCACACACACACACACCACTTTCATAATGGCAATGTGGGTCAAGTGTCTTGCCTAAGGACACAACAACAGTTTTTGTGACTGGGGCTCCACTGTGGCACCTGATTTTTCCAGTGTCTCCATCCAAGTACTGACCAGCCCCGGCCTGGCTGAGCTTCTGAGATCTGACGGGATCAGGCTTTGACCAGCTGGTATGGCCACAAAAAATCATTTAATCATATTTTGCTTTTCTTTTTTTATTTTTATTTTAAGAAGAACCACATTCCTGAAATGGATCTAAGATCTAAATCTAAAATATTTGCTTAATCATGCTTTATAACAGATAAAAATGTGCCTCTATTACAAGTGATTCTTTAAGAAACTCACGTGATGCCTGAAATATGAAGAAAAAGTGCATGCCCTTTCAGCTATGATATAGAAGTTGATATTGATATTATAACTTTGGCCAAAACAAAATGCTAAAATTGTTATTTTGTTTGTCCAAAAATGTTTTTTGTGTCCATAGACAATGTCGTTAAATACTCACGAGTCAGTTTGGGAATTTCATTTATCTTTTTTTTTTTTTTATTTATGTTGGCAGACTCATTCTGTAAAAAGTTTATATGAGATTCTTTTAGTTGTTTAAAGCTACATACAGAAAGAACATAGAACCATTTGGTAGTGTCCATAGACAATGACTTTAAAGTTATAAAATGAATATTTATTTAACTTAATAGATAATTTTCACACATTTTTCAAGAAATCTGAATATTAGAAGTGAGGAGAGTTGAGATCAAGTTAAACTCAGAGCAGTTTAGGCCAGCAACAAAACTACTGTTTGTTTTTATTAGTGTAAGTGCAGAGAAGAGACGGCTGTCCTACAGACAGAGAACTGTCCTACAGACAGAGGACTGTCCTACAGACAGAGAACTGTCCTACAGACAGAGGACTGTCCTACAGACAGAGAACTGTCCTACAGACAGAGGACTGTCCTACAGACAGAGGACTGTCCTACAGACAGAGAACTGTCCTGCAGACAGAGGACTGTCCTACAGACAGAGAACTGTCCTACAGACAGAGACTGTCCCACAGACAGAGGACTGTCCTACAGACAGAGAACTGTCCTACAGACAGAGGACTGTCCTGCAGACAGACTGTCCGCAGACAGAGAACTGTCCCACAGACAGAGGACTGTCCCGCAGAGACTGTCCCGCAGACAGAGACTGTCCTACAGACAGAGGACTGTCCTGCAGACAGACTGTCCCGCAGACAGAGAACTGTCCCACAGACAGAGAACTGTCCTACAGACAGAGAACTGTCCTGCAGACAGAGGACTGTCCTACAGACAGAGCGACTGTCCTACAGACAGAGGACTGTCCCGCAGACAAAGGACTGTCCCACAGACAGAGAACTGTCCTACAGACAGACTGTCCCGCAGAGAGGACTGTCCTACAGACAGAGGACTGTCCTACAGACAGAGGACTGTCCTGCAGACAGAGGACTGTCCCGCAGACAGAGGACTGTCCCGCAGAGAGGACTGTCCTACAGACAGAGGACTGTCCTGCAGACAGAGAACTGTCCTGCAGACAGAGGACTGTCCCGCAGAGAGGACTGTCCCGCAGACAGAGAACTGTCCCGCAGAGAGGACTGTCCTACAGACAGAGGACTGTCCCGCAGACAGAGGACTGTCCCGCAGAGAGGACTGTCCTACAGACAGAGGACTGTCCTGCAGACAGAGAACTGTCCTACAGACAGACTGTCCCGCAGAGAGGACTGTCCCGCAGACAGAGAACTGTCCCGCAGACAGACTGTCCCGCAGACAGAGGACTGTCCCGCAGACAGAGAACACACACCACAGTTACCAAATTTTAGCAATGATCACCTGATCTTGAAAGAGGCGATAGCATATCATTTGGCATTATATTGAATACAACTGTTTTAAAAAAATATTTATGTAAATTTATAAATGTGTAAAATGATGTGTCATTCTCCTGGAGCTCCTCTCTGCCATCTGGGAACATCAGTAGGTCCTCCTTAAAAACATGGATTATATTACTTTACTATATTACTAAGAGTAGACAGAAATTCTTCCATAAATTTAGTTGTTTTTTTTTATTCGATTTTTTATTTTTTTTGTCAGACTGTCAGATTGCAGTATTGTAGAGTGGTGTTATGAGAGAATGTTTTTTTTGTTTTTGTTTTTTTGTATTATTATTTTGTTATCTATGTATTTGTTTGGTTTATATTGTTTCATGTTTTATTATATTGTCTGTAATAATTTTAAAAAGTATAAGTAGTACCATTTCAGACAAAGAGGGAGAAAGTGAAAGTACTGGTACAAGAAACTGAATGTTAATGTGATGTAAAATAAAATATTAAATTATACAGGATAAAAGTGAGACACAAATGCAAGAACCACAAATGTTCAGATCATTTCATATTGTCACATGAAGCTTTTGTCACTTGAGGAAGCACAACTTTACTCAAGTAAGAGTACTGTTACACTGTACAATATATTACACAAGTACGAGTAAAGTGTAGTGTTAGAAAAGTACAAGTGTTTCTACATAGTTGTGTCTTGCATTATGACCCTGGCGTCTTGTGGTGGTTGCAGAGCGCAGGCACCAGGCGGGACCAGGCGCGGCAGCTTGTGCGGGACCTTGAGACTCGTGGGAGCAGAGCTTTCCCATTGTTTCTGGAGAGTCTGGAGGAGACGGGGCAGGTGAGACTGGTCCAAGCCTTGAGGGATGGCTCCTCTCTGGGCACACTACAGCCTTCAGCCCCCCCTGTGCTCCGGCCCACGCTCCAGCCTCTGCCCATAGGTGAGGGAGGTGAGAGTGTCCCTCGACAGCAGGCATGTCCAAACTATGGCCCGTGGGCCGAATGCAGCCCTGCAGCCCTCAGACAAATTTTTCTTGGCCCTCAGGCTTCCAGGAGAATTGGCCCAAATTACCTTGCATCAATGAAAAATTTACTTTCTATTACAAGTTTTTTGAAAATCTACCTTGATGAAGCCAATAATTAATTTTTAGTGTGTGGTTTTGAGGATCTTAGCACAAATAAAGGACAGATGGCTCATTCTAACATGCACATATTTCAATTATTCATTGTACTGTGAGCACCAGTTTATGGTCCTCAATAAGTCCTCTGCTTCATCTGTGTTTACATATGTGGCCGTTGATGAAAAAAGTTTGGACACCCAAGCTCTACAGTCTAGAGGTGCAACACTGGAATTTCCCCATTGTGGGAACAATGGAACTCAACAGCAACCACCTACTTCCCAGTTCCGGAAGTAAATTTTTCATAAATTTTACTTTCCAAAAAAAACCATGAATATTAAAGGTTTGAAAGCTCAGGACTGACCATCTCTGTCATAACTAATGACACAACAACTAGAACTTATTTCACATTTAAAACTGTTTCTGAAGCTTTATAAACCCCTGAGTTATCAAAGCATTGTGCTGAATCTTGCATTTGAAATGTGTGTTTGTTAAAACAACCACGTTATGGATGTTAGTAGCTGCTTAGCCTCAGTGATGCCTTTGAATTTTTTGAAATGTCTATGAGAAAAATAAATGGAAAATTTACTTCCAGAACCGGAGCAGGCGGTCTCTTTGGAGCTCCATACAACTGTCTTTATTTATTTATTGGTTTATTTATTTCTATTCTGTGATTTTGTTTTTATTTTACTGGTTTTATTATTTTAAGACTAGTATTATTTTAGTAGTTTATTAGGCCCGAGCGCCAGAGGCTGGCGAAGGGCCTATTAGTATCGCAAAGCGATGCTCCTAGTGGCTGAAAAATGGAATGGTGCAACGTGACTCGCCCGTAGTGACCAGGGACCCTCGCCATCACGTAGCAATGCACCAGAGGTTTCCGAAAATGTATAGTTTGTCGGCCAAAAAAAAGTGGAACATTGTTCTCGCATTAGAATATTATTCTTTCTTTCCTTCTTTCTTTCTTTCTTATTATTTTTTTCCTAACCAACTCACCCATTTTTCACCCACTAAACAATGACGAAAAGTCCTGGAAATTTTGCCATCTGGTAAAACTCGCGCTTCTTTAACTTTTGGCTATTTTCATTTTCCAAAAATAAATAAAATGGCTCGTCAGCGCCACCAAACGACTCAAAAATGCATTAGGGAATATGAATGAGGGCAAAAAAAAATTGCATGTACAATCATGAAATCATGACACAGAAGTCGATCATGTCAAGACAAGGAAAAAATATTCTTACGCCAACACCGTGTGCTCCACTAGGGGGCAGTAATATTGGCTTAAAGTTGGCTAAGCTTGTACGAACTCCTCCGAGGGCGTTCACCCGAACGAGATCAAATTTGGTCCACATCATCTCAAGACGTGGAACATCAAAACTTATTCACATTTTTCACACACGTCTTACGATCTCTGAGCAGTGAAGCAACATAAAATGCACACAATATTGGAGATTTACAAATTCTCCCATTTGCTCAAACAAACTCCGATTTCAATGAAATTTGAAACAGTTGTTAAACTCTCTGCCCTGAAGCTACTTCATGTGAAAATTATTAATTTGTCGCATTAGCGCCCCCTATAGATTGAAACAAAATTTAATATGGAAGAAAATCATTTGTTCCCAAATAGTTGTTCAAAAATTTCTGAAATTTTGCACAAAATTCCATTTTGGCATCCTGATCCAAAAGTCAATGACACCCATGTCATATTTTTTATGGCGTTGCCATAGCGATGACATACACTCTCCATTGGTAAAATCTACAAATTCTGGCACAAACTTTGGCCGATTTCACTCAAATTTTAATCGTTGATTGACACCCCGACCCTGAACAGATTTATATAAGAAAATCTCAAATGGACGCAATAGCGCCCCCTAGGGAAATTGCATGGTAGTGCAAAAATTTACTTCGTTGTAGACATATACAATTTGGTACACAGGTTCATGACATGATCTCAATCAAAAAAGTCAATGACGACCCCATGCCATTTCCCATCGTGTTGCCATGGTGACAGGCTAAACATCTGCCCTCGCCAGTAGGACGCCCAACAAAAACTTTGGCTTAGCCAAACTAAATTTGTTACACAGATGCATCATGGGAATAGGAACAAAAAAGTATATTATGCGGTTGCTAGGCAACCAACAGGAAGTTGGCCATATTGGATTGATCGTGCGACCTGGTGACGAAGGCACAAATTCCTGTCCTCATACTTTAATGAACTGGTCCTCGGGCATTTGACCCAGACTCATCAGAATCATTCTGTATCATCTAGACAAGTGCGACATTAAAAGTTGTTAAAAGCTTTTTAAAAGGTCAAACGGTGTTGCCGTGGCAATGGTGCAAATTTCGGTTAGTTTATTTTTGGGGCTCACCATCAAACTTCGACAAGTGATAATTTGCACAAACTTTGGCCGATTTCATTCAAACTTTAATCGTGAGTTCACACCTCAACCCTGAAAGGACTGATGTAAGTAAAGTGGGTGCAATAGCGCCCCCTTACGATTTGCACAAACTTTGGCCGATTTCACTCAAATTTTAATCATGGGTTCACACCCTGACCCTGAAAATAAGGTTTTATTTGTCACAGATATACAACATTTGGTACTCACATTTGTGACATGGTCTCGATTAAAAAACTCAGTGATGCTCACACCCCACTGACATTGTGTTGCCATGGCAACAAGCCAAAATTGTATCCTTGCCAATGGGACGTCCTTACACAAACGTTGGCGTAGCCAAACCAAATTTGGTATCCACATGCATCATGGCAATAAAAACAAAAATGTATATTGTGACCACGCCCCTTTACAAACTGGAAGTCCGCCATCTTGGATTTTTTTTTTTGCCAAATTTTGAAAATTGCAGGGTTAAATTAAGATTTATAGGGCTAGGGTTGGGGCTATGGTTAGGATTACGATTAGGGTAAGGTTTAAGCTTAGACTTATTACGGTCAGTGTGAGGTGCCGCGTTTGCGGGGCACGGCGTTTGCAGGGCAAACATTCTGAAATGTGCTCTAGAAATAAAGTGGATTGGATTGTCTTTTATTATTAAAAAAACACTTTTCTTTTACAGTGTCCCTGATGGATGTGGACGAGAAAATAATAATACCTCCCATTCCCATTCCTCCCATTCCTCCCATTCCTCCCATTTCTCCGATGCAGAAACGCAGCACCACTCCAACTCCCTGTAAG